AATAACATTCTAAATGAATAATAATTTAAAGAGATACATACATATTCAAACATTTGAAATTAATAAAATTCATTTAAGTACACATAAACATAAATCGTATTGGTTGTTTGGTAAGTAATTTAATCGTATTGGTTGTTTTAAATAATTTAATCGAATATAATGCAACACTCGTTAGAATCTTAGAAGATGTATACATCTTCTTAGAAACGCAACCTTTTTGAGAGAAAAAGGGGGTATCCGAGGATCTCTTAATACCCGATTTTCCCAAAAAATGGGAGGATCATGATAGTCGCTTAAAACCCCATTTCCTTAGACGTGCATCTCTTTACAAACAGTCGAAGTAAGTGGCGCTATGTATTCGATTAAATTATTGAAAACAACCAATAGGATTAAATTATTTCAAATTTATTTTATATTCCACTAAGTACATCAGCAAAATAAAATAAAGATAAATGATGAAGAATTTTATGTACCGGGTGATCGTTCAAAACATCCCTTGAACGATGGTTGGGTTGGTCGTACTTGGATCAATAGGCCATTGATCCAAATAGTACCGTTGGTTGTATCAATGTTGTCAGAACCGAACCGGAGCATGACCCGGTAATGCGAACGACTCGCACTTTAGTGGTCCAACCGGTATTAGATCGTTTAAAAACCGTTAGAGAACCGGTACCTAATAAACGTTATCAGTATAAATAGCGGACTTTTCTTAATCGGAGCTTGTCTCTTTCCTTCGAAATTGTGAAATCGAAATAAGGGTTCAGTTTGAGAGCCCGGCGTTTTTTATTTATTTCAATTTTCAATTTTCTGCAATTTTTTAATTAAATTTAACGGCTGAATGGCAAAAACCGGACGAGCGGCTCGATCGGCTCGACCGGTTAACCGCCTCGGCCGTCTGTCAACCACTACATAAAACCGGAGCGGCTTTTAGATTGTTCCAAGCCGATTTTGTGACCGAGTGATGGTTTTACTGGTCGGGCCGAGCGGCTCGGCTCGACTTTAATAACATTGGGTTGTATATATCCACGTCGTCCCCAACCTACGAGAGAATAACAACAAGGTTAGTACATAGATTAATTAAAAAGCTTATAACAAAAACAAAAATTGACCAGAATAATGAGTATGTACCGCTTGAAATTCATCATAATAAACTCCCTCTTCTTGGAACCACTCGTCCATTTTTCGCGAAATTCGGACAGATATTCGGCGGGTTTTGAGGGAAAAACCAAAGAAATGTTTTCTGATGGCAGATCGGACTTAGCCGCAACCAACAGACCACTATTTCCTAGGCTTTTGGGAGGGGAAGTGTTAGAGAGATAATTTTAGAGAGAGAGTGAAGAATGGGTTGTGGTGTGAAGAAATGAGAGGGGGGAGGGGGTATTTATAGTATTCAGACCGCACCCTTCAGGGCGGTCTGGTAATTTTGGCCTCCTTGAAACCGCTCCCTTCCAATGTGGTCCGCTATTCTCGAGGCGCTGACCGCACCCTGCAGCAGCGGTCTGCAATCCATGGCGCGGATCGCTGAGGTGGCAAGCGATCCGCCGCTGGATCGCCGCCTGATCCTGCGGTCTCCAAGCCCACTCCCGAGGAAACACAGACCGCACCTTCCTGGTGCGGTTCCCAGTCTGACGTGGCGCAAAATGCACCTCCAAGGTGCGGTTTATACATAAAACGCACCTGAAGGGTGCGGTTTAATTATAAAACGCACCTCCAAGGTGCGGTTTATACATAAAACTCACCTGGAGGGTGCGGTTTAATTATAAAACGCACCTTGGAGGCGAGGTTTAATAAAAATGGTGCTAGTTTTGTAAATTTTGTGGGCTGGATGCTTTTTTTTTTAATAGGTGCTATTATTGGAAAATCCCAATTTATGACTCGCTATGACACAACTCCAAACAAATGCAAAGTGTAACCAATGAAAGGGACTGTAGTATAGTGGCTCAAGTAATAAATACATAATCCATGGGTCTCTAGAATTACTATTACTCAGCTTTAGTTCATTATCTAGCAAACCAAAGTAAAATCGAAGAACTAAAACTACTCTAGCAAACTATAGTTAAAGTTAATCTAATTACAAGTTGGGAACTCACTTAGTTATGATTCCCCCTAGCAGACGGAGGAAGAGGGTTTGGTATGTGTCCCGGGACACATGTAAGTTTTGGTAAAAAAATTAACACATCTCTATATATATTTATGTAAGGGATAAAATATTCAAATTCATCACAATGATATAGTATAAAAAGTATTTTACCATTACAATGAAGCTCAAGTTTTGTTATTTGATTGATATAAAATTAATTTATACGCTATAAAAAAAATCTTCAATTGAAATGAATCTCTATTTGGGTTCTTTTTATCAATAATCATATTCAATTTTGTCCAAGAACTATGAAGTCTAAACAGAAACCTTGCTACTGGGCTCTCTCTTTTCTAGTCCACTAGTTTCCATTCAATTTTAATTATAATTATTAAATAATTATTTATATATTTGTATTTTAAAAAGAGAACACACCTAGTTTTACAACCTGGCTCCGCCACTACCCCCTAGCCACTAGCCAGATTAATGATTGATGATCTCTAACCTGTTTCACTTTCATTCACAATGCGGAGAATCCTTAACTAAACCTTGAGTCTCGTCTAAAGGAACAAGGCCCTCTTGAATCAATTGCCTAGAGGTGCGTATCATTCTCTAGAATAGCCGATCAAGGCGTTTTGAACTAGATTCCCTCTATCGAATGAGGTTCTCGATCGATACAAAGTAGTGAATGTACCATCGACTAAAGCAACCGATCCAATACTATCAATCTATGGTGCTCTATTGACCTAATCAGGTATTCGCTCTCATGGGATCAAAGAAGAATCAATAATCTCGACTAAAGCAGAATTGAATCATGAAAACATGCATAGATTGAATATGAACTTAAGATTATCAAGTAGGAGTACTCATACAATCATCCAATAAAACAAACAAAGCTAAGTGAAGGGAAGTTACTCCATAGAGAAGAGAGAGGCTGCAGTAAGAATCTTCAGATGATTAGTCTTTAAGTCCGGGCTTGTTCCTCGAGCTTCCAAGGCGAAGAAATCCTCCAATTCCACTACAAGTTTGCCCTCAAATCGCTCTCTCTCTTTTTGGTTCGTCCCTTGGGTGTTTGGAAACCAAAACCCAGCTCTCCCCCTCCAAAAAATGCACAAAATAGGCACCCGAGTTCGCGAACCGGCCGGTAGGGGTGGGCATTAGGTTCGGTTTTACCGAACCGAACCGAACAAAAACCGACCGAAACCGAAATACATATAATTAGGTTCGAAATTCGGAAATGGATGTGGTGTATTTCGGAAACAAGACGTGCTTGAACCGAACCAAATTACTGATTTAACCGACCGAATTCCGAAATAATAAACTGCCCAAGCTCCAAGACCAACCCAACCCAGCACTCCAGCCCAATACTCGGCCCATGCCCCACAAATGGAATTGGGCCTCAGCCTGCCGAGACCACCCCAACCCAACCGAGACGTCGACCTCGACCTAAGCTAACCCTAGGAGATTGACAACTCATCTCATCTCATCGGAATCGCGAGACGCGAAGCAGCTGGGAAGTGGGAAGGAAAGGAAGAAGGCTGAAGGCGGCATGACTCACTTCTACTGTCACCCTAGGAATTGGCCAAGTGAAACCACTTCCTAAAGCGTAGTATAGCGGGTTTAGGTTTAATTATCAACCCGGGTCCTAGATTTGATGACTACTCAGTGAATTCTTGTTATCTAGCAATGAAACTTTAATGCAAGTCTAAACTAACAAACTAACAAAGCAAGTAAACGGTTGTATTCAGGTTAAGAGAGGTCACCCGGATATGGTTCCCCCTAGACTGCAGTTAAGCCGGATTGTAATTACCAAGTTCAGTTTCTATGATAGTTATACTACGGAAGGTTCTTAAACAACCTGAAGTCTCGACTAAAGGTCTTCAGACCCTCTCAATCTGAGTCTCTAGCGGGCGACTTACCTCCACCGGAGTAAACAGATTGAGGCCTTAACAAACAAAACCTCCACTACCGGAGTAAATTCGGTACAGAACAGTGAGTTGGCTCCTCGACTAAAGTCACCAACTCCCTACCTTCAATCAAGGATGCTCTATCAACCTAGGCAGATATTCTCATTCTAGGTCAAAGCAGAAACAACAAGAATTTGATCAGGATTCAAGTCATTCAAACCTCAATCGAATATAATCAAATCACAGAATCAGTACTTGGGTTCATACAATCAAAGCCTAACATACAAATCTAGGGTTCTCCATACCCATATGAATGAGAGAACTAATCCATGGAGAAAAAAGCAAAAACAGAATCAGACGCGGAATTCATACTGTGAAGGATGGATTCCTGCTCCTGGACGTTGATCGGCACTTCTCCAAGCTCAAACTGGCCTCCAATGGTGATGAAGATCAAGCTAGGGCACTTGGAGACTCTTGTTCGTCGCTTTCTCTCTCTAGGAATCGTTCTGTCTCTCTAAAACTTGAATCCCCTTCTGTTTGGCTGAAAATCTGCTTAAAAGGGCATCAGTGGCCAAAGCACGGTCGAGGGCACGGCCGTGTAATGCCTCAGCCCGCCCGTGCTTTGGCTAGGGTTAATTACACGGCCACCTATTGGGAGAAACACGGTCGTGCTTTGGAGAGGACACGGCCGTGCTTTGGGTGGACACGGCCGTGCTTTGTCTAAGCCCTGCCCGTGTTTTTAGCCAATGTTTGCCAAACTCGAATTTGCTCTCGGCAGTAAAAGCACGGCCACAAAACACGGCCGTATTCTGCTTTAGGTGTGCCCGTGTTTTGGCTCCAGCTCGACGAAATGACTTCCGAATGCCCCGAAACTCGTGTTTAGCCTTCCCTTTGATGCCTGGGACCTGAAATATGACAAAGTAGCACAACCCGGCGTAAAATAGGCCAAAAATACACGACTATGCCCCTCAAACGGATAAGAACTAGGGGCGCAAATATGTGCAATTACATCGTTATCACGGCAACAGCCAACATCGACTCCTCCTCCGCGCCCCGCGGCAAGCGGCGACTCCTCCTCGGCAGGCGGCAACTCGGGGCTCAGCTCCTCCTCCGACCTCCAGTCCAGACCTCCAGACCAGACTCCAGAGTCTAGTCCTCCGCGGCCCGCGCCGTTTGCCTGACAGCCCGACGCCGACGCCGCCCGAGCCTGACCGCCCTTGCCACCAGCCACCACCCACCAGTGACCGGTCGCCACCTCCCATAGTCCCTCCCTCCCACCCAGTCAGCCGGTAAACACCCGCCGTCGTCGACTGCGAGCAGCCAGCCGCATGCCAAATTTCCAGTTCCAGAAGGCAGCAGGCAAAAACGGGGGCAACAGCTGTGTTTTTCGGTTCTGGGCATTGAAACCGGACCGAACCGAGCTATAATTTGGTTCCGTCGAACCGGACCGAATTATAGCTTGGTTCGAATTCGGTTGGGGCGTTGGGTATATCGGAAAACCGGCATGTCCTAGTTCGGTTCGGTTCAAACCGAATCGACCGAATGCCACCCCTACCGGCCGGGTATCAACAAAATGCTCTGGGTCACTTTTCTGCACAAAAGGGAAAATACCAGGTTGGGTATTTTTGATACCCAGTCGGGTATTTTTGATACCCAGTCGGGTATTTTTGGTTCATGATCGAGGGCCTTCTAAGCTCTGATCAAAATACCCTATCATATGCGATAGGGTATTTTACAGTTCCGGGTACCCTATCTTTGATTCTTCATTTCTCCCTCGTTCGAACTCCAAATCAGGTGTCGTTTGTTCTCAGATGCTCGTAGTCTCGTCCTATTTCTTCTCTCATGACAAGCTTACATGATTATCTTGTCACAAAATGAGTTAGAAATCCACTCTTCTTCAAGTCATGCCCGAGTTTCTTCCCCCGAGTCTCCAATTGATCTCCGATTGATTTGAAACTTGCGCCTATGCTTCACTTTATGTGCTAGGACCTAAAATGTGACAAAGGAACACAACCTATCGTAAAATAGGCCAAAGAAGCGATAATGCAAGCTTAAACGATCGAGAAACAAAGGGGAAAACATGTGCAAATATCTAGTCATTAATTTACATTCCCAAGACTGGCAGAAACCAAAAGGAAGCTGTCAAGGATGAAAGAGGCGGCGGATGTGTCCCCTTACCAGCCAAGAACCCTCTTTGCTGAGGAAGGCAAGGAAGAAAGACCAGATGGAGTAGCAAAGTCAAGAAGTGGGCCAGGACTCGGGGTACATTAAAACAATGTTTTTAATGGGGGCCAACTGAGCCCATCTAACCCGATTCCTTTCTTTAATCTGATGGGCCAAGGTGGTTTCTTCCCTAGTCCAAACTATATGCATATATTGAAAGAGAATGAGTTGTTAAACCAAGCCCAATCTCCTTTTATGTGGTGGGATAACAGACAGTTGGAAGCCCAATTTCTAAGTCCCTAGGGACTAAAGCATGACCAACCGAAGAATTTGAAAGCTAGCACAAAGAGAAAAACGGGGGAACTTTTTCAAGAAGAAAGCTTCTTTCAAGCTCAATAAAGTGGCAATGAAGAGGAAATAAAAGAAGATCAAACTGTAAATGAGAAGGTGGCTCTTCAAAAGCCACTAGGGGCAATGCAGTAAAAAACGCGCATTAAAATTTAAAAACTTACTTTTTTACGTATCCAGGCCACCAAAACGTTTCAGTTTCTACCTAAAGTCCCTTAGAAACAAAAATCGGTAAAAACATAGGTAAAATCGGTAAATCGCTTAAAATAGGTAAAATCGGTGAATCACGATTCTGAAGCGTTTTTATACGATTTTGATCATCTCATAAAAATGTGCTAATTGGCCCAAAATGATATAAATTTGGAGACATATCAGCAAAAAAAATATAAAAAAAAGGAAAACATGATTCATCACTCGTTCTACAACTAGTGTCGAGATAAGGGCTTCACATTAGGTTGAAAAGACACCTAATGGTATTCTCAACAGTCGCCGACCTTCTATCAGTCTTCTCCCTTAATCTTCACATGTGGCTCTTACGTGGGTTACGATAAAAGTTTATGGGTAATTGATCGTATGTAATTATGTAAACTCAAACCAGCTTACGAGAATTTGGATTCTCAAGCTCGTTTTTGGGTTACGATCTACGTTTATGAGCTTATTATTAAGATGTTATGAGTTTTCTCTACTTTTGAGTCAACACAAATTAGTTTATGTGTTAGATATAACATTTTAATTATGAATTTCATGTAGTTATTCACTTATCTAAAATCTACACACTCACATTTTACATACTATATGTTGTACTTAACATATTTTAGCTATTTTAGAGGGTGCGTAAAAAAACTTACACTTTTACGTTTTGATTCTACGTTTTACGATTTTACCCATTTTCCGCTTCTAGGTAGAATCCCTCTTTTAACTGCATTGACTAGGGGGACCATGAGTACTCTATGCTGGAATTGTCGAGGGCTAGGGTCGGACTCGATAGTTAACAAATTAAGGGATATCCACAGATCCTATAGACCTAGCATCTCTTTTCTTATGTAGCAAGAAAGTTTCTTAGAAGTAGAAAGGAGGAAGCCCAGATTTTCTAACAAATGGTATCTCAATCCTTCGGGTAGTTGGGTGGTTTAGCTTTGTGGTGGGTTAAGGGCTTTGAACTCAATGTAATAGACTTCTCGGAGTTTTTTGTTCATGTCTTTGTCGAGTTAGGGTGTGGTTTTTCTTACTTTCCTCCATGCCCCTAATGATCCTAGTGGTAAGAGGGCCTTTTGGGAGTAAATATCTAGATTTAAACCTATGAATGATAGTCCTTGGCTTTTGTTGGGGGATTATAATGCGGTTCTGAGTGAGAGAGATAAAGTAGGAGGAAACCCTCCAAGAATAATTCAACAGATCCTTTCAAGGAGTTTGTCTTCACCAATGGACTACTGATATTGAATTCAAAGGGCCTAGATTCACTTGGTCTAATATGCAGCAAGGTCATCGGAAAGTGCTGATGAGGCTGGACAGAGGACTATGTAATCTGAATTTGAGTGAGACTTTCACTAATGCAATCATTTTCAATTAGCATATGGTGAGCTCGAATCACTGCCCCATGAGAATTGAGTTGATGGGTGTAAGAAGGCCGAGGAACTCAACTTTCAAATTTGATCATAAATGGCTACAATATGAACAATGTGGTGACATTATCAAAGGATTATGGGAAAGGGAAGTGGACCATCAGAAGTGCCTTTCAACCTGCAGAGAGGAGCTTAAGAGTTGGGCAAAGACAGATAAAGAAATAAAAGCTAGATTGGAAGTCATTCTAGAAATGCGGATTGATCCAATTGTCGCTGAGGAGGAAAGGAATTTATTGGTGGATATTATTCGACTTTGGATTGAAGAGGAAACCTTTTGGAGGCAGTGTTCTAGAATTCAATGGTTGAAAGGAGGGGAGTGCAATTCTAGATTCTTCCACACTACTACAATATTGAGAAGTATTCGCAATAATGTGGTGAAGCTTTTGGATGATAATAACAACCGGTTTGAATCACAAGAGCCTCTTCAAAATCTGGTGTTGAACTTCTACAAGGAGTTGTTCACAAAAAGGGAGATGGTGGACAACATGACTCTGTTACAACATATCCCAAATTTAGTGGATGATCAAATGAATTCAAACCTGTGTTGTCTAGTAGATGATGAGGAAATTAAAGCGCTGACTTTTCTCTGCAATCCTCGAAATCTCCGAGACCTGATGGCTATCCTGGTATATTCTACAGGAATTATTGGGATATTGTGGGCTTTGCAAGGAGGTAAAATTATTCTTTGAGCTCAACTCAATGGCTCAAGGTTAGAATGGTATGCACTTAGTATTGACCCCAAAAGTGCAAAACACAGAAAGAGTTTCCCAATTTTGGCCAATAAGTTGTTGTAACTTCCGATACAAGGTGATTTCAAAGATTATGACATCCAGACTCCAAAAATGGATGCCTAGTATTTTATCGGAGATGCAAGCGACTTTTGTAGGAGGACCAACAATTCAGGATAACATTATCGTAGTCCATGAGGTCCTCCACCATTTGAAGACTCGATCTAAAGGAGGTAAATGGGATATGATGATCAAGCTTGACATGAAAAAATCTTATGATATGTTGGAATGAAATTGTCTTGATGAAAGCCTTAGGGCAATGAGTTTTGCCCAACAATGGTGTCTCTTGATCAAGGAATGCATCAGATCTGTGAGATTTTTTGTTCTCTTTAACGAACAACCATCTCCTTTCTTCGAGCCGGCAAGAGGAATCTGACAGGGAGACCCTTTATTCCCTCTCCTTTTTGTTTTGCTTTCCAATGTTTTATCATTTCTTATTGATAAAAATGTGAACAATGGTAATTGTAGGGGTAACTCTTAACCCTATGTGTCCTAGACTTACCCATGTCCTTTTTGCATATGATACGATCATTTTTGGGAAGGCTTCAATGAATGAAGCAGTGACTATCAAAGAAAATATTGAGAGCTATGAAAGATTAATAGGGCAAGTCATCAATAGTGATAAATCAACACTCACATTCAGGCAAAACATCCCCGATGCGTTTAAACAATTGATTGGGGAAGACCGAAGAAAGAAGTATTTTCTTAGTTGATATCGAGAATGGAAAGACTTGGACAAGTTTGGAAAAACTTGGCGTTGCCTCAAGCAGGAAAGGAAACCCTCTTGAAATTGGTGTTTCAGGGATACCCAACATATCTTTTGTCTTCTTTCCTATTACCTAAGGGTACTACAAAAACAATGAACTCAAGACTCAAGGCGTTTTTCTGGGGAGGCAATATGGCAAAAGGAACTATTCATTGGAGGAAAGGAAGTGTGTTAACGACATCAAAACAAGAGGGAGAGATGGGTTTCAAAAAAATTCACCAATTTAATTTGGCTTTACTGGCAAAACAGGGGTGAGAATTCTTAATAGGGCAGATGAGACTTGGAATAATTATAAGTTTATGATTGCAGGTAAAAGAATGAAACCATTTTGGATCTGAGCAAGCATATGTGAAGCTAATGAGGTACTCAAATTGGGAGCTTGTAAGAACATGGGGAACAAGAGGAACACATTCTTGTATGAAGACCCTTGGATTCCTGGCAACCCATGTTTTCGAATTCAATAGAGTCAAAGTCAGCAACTCAAAGCGTTTGATTGGGTGATAGATGATGAGAATGAATGGAATCTGGATATTATTAGACAAAGCTGCTCTGTAGTGGAGGTGGAGGCAATTAGACGTATTCCCATTGGCGACGAAGAAACGGAGGATTGCTGGGTTTGGCATCCTGAGAAATCAGGGGCCTTCATTGTAAGATCAGCCTACCACACATTCTGGATATCTAAAAGAGTAAGATTGGGTGATGCTGATCCAAACAACCTTGGATGCTCTCTTCAAGCTTGGAAATGGCTCTGGAGTTTATCACTTCCTTCTAAGATCCTCAACTTAATATGGTGACAGACGAGAAATGCTGTAGAAACTAAGAGGAACCTCTAGGTCAAAAAAGTGATCACTTCCTTGGGCTGTTCGATCGGTGGTGGTGATGTGGAAGATATCATTCATTGTATCTTTTTGTGCCCACACACGGCGCAAGTGCGGCACACTTGTTTCGAGCTCCTTTCTCTCTTTCATGACACCATGTCGATTCTCATGTGGCTTCATCAGATCGACAATGGCTCTCCGGCTTTTTTGGTTAATGTTGTTATCGCTACTATGTGGGGGACATCTGGAATGCACAAAACGAAATGGTCTTCCGGGGGACCAATCCATGTGGATTCATCACTATAGCTAATGCATTGTGGTGTTTCTCAGAGTGGAATGGAGCTTTCGAGCCTTCTGTTCCCTCTACTGGAAATCATCCCCCTCCACCCTGACTGATTCTTAGTCCACTGCCTTCTTCTTTCCAATTTGAAATCTTCTATGATGGAGCTTTTAGCTCGGAATCACAGGTGGCGGTAACACCATGGGCCAACTAATCGACGGAAGGGCTGATATGTTTGTTTGTTCAGAAGTGATTGTGGCTGAAGCGAAGGCCTTTCTTTCAGCAATTAGATTTGCAGTTGATGCGGATATCTCAACGTTAGTGATTCGGACTGCAAAACGATTGTTGACTCTCTTTTTCCAGCTGATGCGAGGGGGCCTTGGCAAGTTAGGGCCTGGATCCACTATATGCGCCAAATTCTTACACAAAAGGACTGGATCAAAGTTGCCTTTATACCAAGAAAAAAAAACAAAAGGAATGATTGGGTTGCAAAGAGGCGTGCAAAGGAACTCTTCCTAACGAATGGATTTGGGTCTTGGACATTGTTTCTCCATTGATATAATTGTCCGAGCTTGTAATACAATCAGATTTATGATGAGCGACTTTCTTTAGGGGAAAATAACTTGCATCCAAACGATCTTTTTGGAATTTTGGGGCGAATCATATTCTTTTCCTTTCCCCTTAGGCGAACTAGAAAGAGGAAAACCAAAACGGGGAACTGTGATCACTGCGGTGGGGTTGAGGAGACCGTTGAACACATACTCCCCAAGTGTACGAAAACAGCAGGCATATGGAACCACTTCAGCAACATGCTCAAAGAAAAGGGTATGAATGTTGATTTCCAATGCTGGCTCTCAATGAATCTACAAGCTGAGGAGATTGGAACAGAGTTTGGACTTATATGCTGGCTACTGTGGAAAGAAAGAAATGAGGCTGTCATGAAAGAGAAGCTCTTTTCAGAAATTGGAACTATTCACGGGATCCAAACCTGGTTTCGAATTAACAACCAGGCTAATGATAACAACAAGCGGAGCACTCCATCAACACAAAGAGACCGCACCACTCAGCAGATCGGTTGGCTGCCTCCGCGTGAAGGGTGGATCCAAGTACAAACAGATGGCTCGGTTCATACCTCCACAGGAAAGGCTGCAGCAGGAGGCTTGCTAGGCGATCACCTTGGAAGGTGCAAAGGAGCCTTCACCAGCAATCTGGGAGTCTGCACAATTACCCGTGCTGAACTTAAGGGAGTGGCTGAAGGGCTCGATCTTGCCTGGCAAAAGGGGTACAGGAAGGTAGAACTGAACGTGGATTCCTCTACTACAGAGGCTCTCATAAAAAACAGGAAGGATACCAATCATACTTATGGCTTGTTAGTTAAGCATTCGGATAGCATTTTGGATAGAGAGTGGGATGTTAGGATCTCACATGTCTATAGACAAAGCAATAGTGCAGCCGATTTTTTGGCTAATAGGGGTCATTTGTTTCCTTTTGGCACACATCTATTCAATGAGTGCGGCCTGAACCTTTGTATTGGCTGTCCCACGATACCATGGAGACAACCATGGATCGTGATATTCCTAGTATGAGTTATTCTAAAAAAACAAAAAAGGAGTAAAATAAAATAAAATCAAACAGTGTTGGTCCTTGAGTCCGGTTGGTACTGAGAAGATCGAGGATTACTACCGGGCAGCAATACGCACCAAATCCTCACCACCAAGCTTATCGTGCATATCGTCGTCAAAGAACTCTGGACAAAGATCCTCGATCGAGCGAACAGGCAAAGAACAGGGAGGGAAGAATACATTAGAGTAGGGGAAGGAGAATGGGAGATCTATACGTATGGCTAATCTCCTTCTTCCTCCTTATAGCCCTACTGGTCATCATCGTCTTCCAGGTCAATCCCCTCCTTAAACCCCTTGGCTTCTTCCTTTAAATTTATTGGATTGATTGTTGAACTTCTGCCCGCCATTTCGCTAACTCCTTGGCCTAAATTCTCAATTTCCCCCCATAGATGGGTCAATTTGTTCCTCTCTTCGCTAATCCACTTCAGCCCTCTTTTAGTTTATTCAATTGAAAGTGAACTCGTTGGTTAATTTCATAGCCCACACTAATGATTCTTCAGAGCTTGTGGGTTCCTTCCCGTATCGGGAAAGCTTTAATCTTTGTTTGACCCCAGTTCTTGTTGTTGGTAGTTAATGGCCTGCTCCGGTGAACACTTTTAGTCTATTGGGTTCATAGCTTGCTTGTAAGGTTTTGATCATGATGCAAAAAAAATGAACTTTGTATTATGCGTTGTGTATGGCAATGTCATGTGGGGTTTCCCTCTGATAAACAAATTCAGTGAGGAGCTCGTTGTAGAAAGTCGTTTAGTGCTATTTAAGATATTGGGAGGAGGTTGATATGTTCAGTTGTTGCTGAAAGATGGAAGCTTCTTGGTCCAATTACATGCAAGTACTAGGTTGGAGATTGGAATTTGCAGCTTATATTATTGGTGTGATATGAAATGCTGACATACTGTAAACTTGTTTTGGCAGCTTATGTGCTTGGCAGATTTGGAGTTCGATTACATCAATCCTTATGACTCTTCTTCAAGGATAAACAAAGCGATTATGCCCGAGTATATTACAGAGGCAGCTTTGTGCTTATTTTACCTAGTGACAGGGCATTGGTGTATGTCACTCATCTGTGCTCCTTACCTCTACTACAATGTCAGGCTGTAAGTTCACTTTTACTCTTCTATGTTAGCCAGTTTTGTAGGTTGTACTATCCCCTGCGCCTTTGCATGATTTATTTATTTATTTGAGCATTCACTCATAGGATCATGTGCATGCACGGAGTGATTTGGTTGAGAGTAGCTGCATTGAAGTTAACAGTTGATATCCAATCTAGAACAAGCCTGATAATTTCATTGTTGAATAGTAATCAGATCGCCAACCAGTTGTTTGCTTTGCGCCCCTTTGATATGCTAGCTAGAACAAATAAATCTTCAGCCTGAAACGTGTTCTCTTAAATTTGGGAATACACCAACAAGGCTTTACAGACATGAATCTTGCTGGGGCCTCTAGTTTGCGATTATGAGAACCAATTTTAATGCTGGTACTTTCACTATGAAGCCATATTTCTTTCGAATGTCAGGCTCTTCGATTTTATAACTTTCCACTAACCTCCTAATAGATGTTACCTCTCCGATCTAGAAAATAAGTATTTTGGTGCTACAAAACTGGAATTGCTTTATGGTCTATGGTGCGTTTTCTTATTCTACAAACTATTGGCTGCAAGGGTAAACATGTCTAATTTGTTATTAGGTGGATCGTCTATATCGTTCTTTTGCTCCTTTAGCCCTTCAAGCATCTCAATCCTTGTTGATTCAGCTGAATAATGAAATGGGGAGCCTAATAAGCTCATTTATAATTTGTAGTGGAGTACGGCAAGTTCTCATTCCACTATATGGTGTCTTTAGGAAAGGGAACTTTTAGGTTTTTACATCCAGCTTGCTGATTATAGTTCTGGCGCTGTTCGTTTTGCGCTGCTTGTTCTCATTTGCGCGATGCCTAAGGACACGGTCTACTAGATAATTATACCGAGTAGTTGGATCATAGTCTCTTACCGTAAAAATGGCTGCATATGCAGCACCACCAACTATGAGAAATCCACCATGCAATCCTCCTGCAGGATGGCATCTTTTATCTTCCTGGAACCACTAATTCAGACCAGGTTTTTGCTTACTTGCATGTGTTTCCTGTGAATGATTAGTTACACAAGACAAAAGCATCTGATCGATGTTACTGAGATCTTCAACCAGCTCCACGCGGAAAAGAAGCAGCGGCTTTGTAAATTATTTTATCTTATTGTTCTCCTTTTCCTAGCAATATTCTGGTAAGTCGATGTTGCTCGACTCTTTACTTTCAGATACCATTACTTGTTCAAAACTCAATTTGAGATTGACTCCGCTCTGACTTTCCTGCAAACTGTAGGATGATCTTGACTGCATTGGAAGATCACGACATGGATTAAGTTGCATAGCTGCGCTCCTCGATCGTAATGTTCAGTGGAGGTACACGGTACATAAATCTGCTGCCTTGAATTGAGCGGCGCTAGAAGAAACATGGGGTTTGTGTAACTGATGATACAATGTGGAAATTCCAGGACGAAGAACTTATTTCATCTTCGTTGTTTTAGCAATTATAGATTTTCTTTGTAGACATCATACAACCATTGACTTTCGTCTTTAGATTAGATGTATTTTTTTTCTTCTCTTTGATGTATGTTCTTTTCCTTCCTCGCCCTCCATTTACGATTAGTGCGTCGGATCAAATTTACAATAATTTTTGGAAAATCACTTTTTGGTATCAAAAAATATTTTTTTCTTGTAATTTAGTACCTAATCTTAAAAATAGGTTCAGAAAATTTGATGTAAAATTACGTATTAGTACCTTTATATTTTTACCTTGCATTATAGAGTCATTTTTAAAACTTTATATAAAATCTAGAAGGATTTTCATATCACTAGTTGTTTCGTGTGTCTTATGTATTTTGATTTGAATTATGTCTTATGTATTTTGATTTGAATTATAAATCACGATCGGTCGGACCATACTCGTTTACGAGACCCGAGTTGTGACATGGCCACATGTAGGGGTGGAAATATATACGGTATCGGTATCCCAATATCAAATACCGAAATCCCGAATATCGAATTACACCCTAAAGTCAATCTCAATCCCAATCCCTAAATAATTTCGGTATCCCAATCTCAAATTCGGTATCCCAATCGGTATTATCGAATACGAAATTAATTACTTTTGCAATTAATAATTAAATATATAAATTAGATTTTATTGTTTAATTTAGGGGAAAAGGACTAAGAAATGAGTTTTGAATTAAGATTTTATTAAGGAGAATGGAGGAGAGGAGACATCTTAAGTTCTTGTCATTGGTAAACTTTAATTTGACGAATTGGAAGTTGAGAGACAACTATTAATAGTGATGAAATGATCTGTGTATAATTAAATGAAACTCTTGGTGGTTGAGGGTCATGTAGTAGTGAATGAGAGAGTCTAGTTGAGAGGATAAAATACACACTAACTTATATTTCGGTATTAATCGATATTTCGGTATATACTGATCACAATCCTGTAATCCCTATACCGAATAACAATTGAAATTCAATCTTAATCCCAATCCCAAAAAATAATACGTGTATTCGATAATACCAAATACAGACAAATTCAATACGATATTCTTTTTTTATTTCTGAGTGATATCAATGGAAAATAAAAGTTAAGCTTACAATTCTACCCAGGACCCCTAAAAGACTCTAAAGAAGCCACCCCGAAAAAACAAAAGATTCTAGCTCTACACGAGACAAAAACAGTGCTTTACGCGCCACTCTATGAGCAGCACTGACAGCGGATCTAGATACCGCTCTAAACTCAATATGATATTCGATATATCACAAATACTGATACCAAACTTCTAGCACTCGCCACATGGGCCGGGCAAGAGGTCGGATAGCTTGCCGGGCCGCAACTACCATCTCTTTTATCGGGCGCGTCATTTAAGCAATAAACCCTAGACGAGACCGAAGAATTGAAAACTCTCGCAGTTCACTGCCGCTTCCCTACGCCCAAAACCTGCAGAGCTCATCCCATCTCTTCTTATTATAAGTGAGATACGCTAGTGTTATTTGGTTACTTTCATTCTCCCATCTCGATTCTCTGCCTCAACCTAGATTTCCTGCACTATCCTGAGCTAGATTTTCCCTCGCTCGTTCTTCCTTATTTTCGATCTCTGCTTCAGATTGTCAATTGCGAAGATTGTGCAATGTGCAGTGCTTTGTTGTGCCGAATCTTTTGCCTGTTGTTGATTTCTGGTTGTTTTGATCGTAGCGGGGAACTGGGAGAGGCAAGTGATGATACAAATAGACAGGGACATCAGTTACTCCGTTCCACTTGTTGGTTTGGAGGATGATGACTAGTCTACAATGGGAATCTCTCTGATGCCTTTCTTTCTTTCTTCTATGTTTTGTTATAATACCTATTTCGTTTCTGTCTTTTCGAAATTCTCTCGTGGTTTGCCAATGATGCATATGGAAATTTCATGTATTACCAGATGATAAACGACTGATGATAGTTCCAATATTGTCACTACCTCTGAGGTGAACTTTATTTGTTTTCTTTTATATTTTACTTGTTTTCTACAATTTCCTTGTCTTCTCGTGTCTGTGTGCCAATGATGGTGTTAAATATACTTTGAGGTATGGTTTGTATCTCTGAAAACAATCTTCCTCTGAGGCACACTTGTCAATGAAAAAGTTTCAATCTTGTTGGTTGATTGCTTGTTTTCTTAAAGTATATATTATGTTGCCATTGAATAGGGCAGGTGATGATAGAACAGACAGGGACATCAGTTACTCCTTTCCTTTTGGGTTGGGAGGATGATGACCAAGTCTAAAATGGGAATCTCTCTGATGCCTTAATCTTATTTAGGTTGTTTTTTTCAACTTGATTTGTCTTGGTAGTTTATAAAGTCTCGGACTTTATGGTTTGCCAATGTTGTACATTGAAAATTGCATGTACTTTCAGAGGTATAGGATGATGAAATTACTTTGTATTTTCCGTGCATTGAAGGTGAACCTCTTTTTATTGTTTATGCTGTTTATGAATGTATTTGGGAAGCCTGATGATGATTGTGAAAAGAACGGAGATTTGAAAGTGGGCCTTTGCTGTTGTTGAAGCTCGTTTCTTTGAAATGGGCTCCAATTGCATCGGTCAATGAAATAAATTCACTACTTTATGTCGACTTTGAAGGCTTTTTGCTTTCATCTTTGTTCTTTCGGACATCTTTCTGGTCGTTTTAGGTTAGATGGCTTCCATCGCTGTTATTTATGCAACAATCAAAATTATCTTAACAGAAAGTGAAGTTTGGTGGAATTGATTTCATTATGGTATTTGAACGTGAAGATATATATCGGAAGTGTTGATTTAGTTAGATCATTGACTGATTTTAGGTATGGTTCTAACTGAATCGGTGCTTTTGTTAAATATTTTTCAAGCTCTGATACCATGATGACATGAATCTAATCAGAATTTCGCTTTGAGGTAAACATAATTTTGGTGTAATTATAGAATCACAAAGATTATTTTTGGATTAAAATAAAATTACACTTTGTGATTAGTTTGTTGAAATTTTCTTTAGTGTCCATGTGTGGTTCATTGTTTGTTCTTGACAATTATCTTATCTAGCTTGGGTGGTTGATGTTTAATGACGCTGTATTCTAGCCATATTCGAATTTAGACTATCTCTTGATTCATGGGGGAATTGCAAGGCTTCTCCCCTATTTTGAGGTAGCCAAGGAGATTGTTCAAGATGAATGAGGAAGCGTCAGCAGCAGGACGGGATGCCCCTACGTTTTGAGTTCCAATCAGACGCTTTGCTTGGATTTGAGCGTTTGTATGCTCTAATTCCAGGATGACTTTCCTGTGTGGATCTTGCGGCGAGTTCGGAAGTTATCATTTATTCAGTGGGACAGGTGAGTAGCACTAAGAAAGTGGAGAGGCTGTCATCGAACTGAGATGCTTGCTGATCTAATAATGTTGTATTGTGGATGTTGGTTTTGCAGCTAATTACCAAAAAGCTTATCTCTTGGACCAACCATGGCAGCTACCATGTAGTCATTGGCAAGGGTCATCTCTTTGTTGTCATAGCATAGCAATATTCAATTAGGAAGACAAAATTGAGGAGGCGGAACTGGAATAACATCTTGATCTCTATTAAGAAATCAGAACTTGTTCTTCACCAGTGACTTGACATTTGGTATCGACTTCCACATCATCTATAACGACAGTGTGACCAGTTTTATAAAAAATTTAAGCATTCCAATTTTGATGGGGCGACGAGTAGGTAAGACCACTCACAATGTAGGAAAGAAAAGATGGTGGGAAAAGAGGGGAAAAAGGGTGGAAGGAAGAGTTTGGTCTCAATGTGTGAGAAGGGAAAACAGAGTATTTGGTATGTGTTTTATTTTAATTAATTTGTAGTTGATTTGTCACTTTATTTTAAAATTTTGGTCATTATTTTTACATGGGTATTAATTAATAATTAATTAAGATTAACATTTTGATATAATTTGTTTAATTTGAAATAATAGCAAGAAAAAAAAAAGTTTCCAGACATGGGCCCTACCCCCTTCCTTTCCTCCTTTTGTCATTTTATGGAGGGTCTTTCCTAGAAAAAATACCAAAATACACATATAATTAAAAAAAATCTAAAATACGTAAGTTATAAAAAAAATTCTCAATCTACATGTGTTTAACATTCACCGTCGTTGTCAAACGCAGTGAAGCCATTCCATGCGTTCAACAAAAACGATGAAATTATAACCTTTTTATCCCCCTTTGAAAAAACAGCGATGAAGTATTCCTGCCTTTGTTAGAAAGCGGCGAACACTTCGCCGCCTTTGTAGAAAGCGGGGAACACTTCATTGTTGTCGTGCAAAGAGGTGAATCCTTCACCGCGCTAGGTTACGACGGTGAATAATTGCCACGTTTCCCACCCCCTGGTATGTGAATAATTAGGTCACAACCACCTAACCTTCACCGCCTTAGGGCAATGTGGTGAATGCCTTCACCGCTTTGGACAACGGCGGTGAATGCACCCTGTTTGTCAAATAAATACCCCTTCCCACGTTGTTGGAAAAATACTTACCCCGACTTCTGCGTAGCCTCTCCCCCATATCTGTCAAATTTAAGCAAAAATCTCCTTCCCAGCTTGCTTCCAGCAACTACGGTTACAGAACCTCCAATTTTTTTGTATGATATAATTTCATATTGTTTAGATTTTGATGGTTCAGTAGTTATATGTACGTATTTAATGAATTACTGTTAGTGGCATATATAAGTAGTTACAGATATTTATATATATTATGGTATGATTGATGTTAGTTAGTTATAAATTTAGATGAATTTGTTTACTGTACACATATATATTATTATAATGCTAATTATGGTTCATGTTTCAATTAGTTAGTTGCGTTTGTTTATGAGTTTCTATGATATTATTTTCGTAGCCCTAAAAATATGATTTTGGTTAATGTTTCTGTAGCCCCAGCCCCCAAGTACTAATTATACTATACTAATTTTATTCGACTTAAGCTAATAGTTACTTATTATATATTGCATATATGGGTAAATTCAAGAAGTTTTAGCTTTTTATTAGGTGGAATGGTCGGTTGACAAACTCATACATTGGGGTTGATTACGAAGACGGTTAATCTAGTGTGTTGGAAATTGAGGCGAGATTCACGTGGCAAGAACTTTGTGACATTTGTGCAGACAAGATTTGTATTGGCGGACAGACGAGAGTTGGTAAAATTACCTACCGGTATCTAGACATGAGTGCTGACGGGGTTATGTAGGAAGCCTTTGTCATAAACGATGATGATGCGGTTACCATGATGTTATAGTTCCTATGAGATAATGGGATGCGGCTTGCAGAGGTGTACGTTTAGACCGAGACGGTCGGTGAAACTCATTCTCGCCAGTATTCTTATGATGATGGTGTTGCAGGAGGGTACGGATGGGGGGTGGTAGCTCAAGCAACTACAGATGAGGTAGTTATGCAGGAGGAATGCCATGGGAATAATACCCACAACATGCTGAACCTGCCCCATTTGTTGAGCCCGACAGCGTTCAATGGCCTGCTTGAGGGCTAGAGTGGGTTGGCATTGAGAACACCATTTGATCTGGGCGTACCTCGTAGGAGCGAGAATACAATGTTGGTGATGGTGGTCACGATGATCCTCCTGGACCGAGCTATCCATTCGACTCCAGCGAAGAGGAAAGTGAGGAAGATTTGAGATTAGTGAGCGAGGAGGAAGATAATGACGATACGGACGACGAGGTGTTATTTCGTAAGCCACCAACGCCATACTACATAGAGGTTCCATCTCAATTTTTATATTGTCAAAATGATGTCCCCGACTTTGTCCCTATGCCAGTGTATAATCCGACGACCAATTTGGAGATGGGTATGGCGTTCCCATCGAAAGACGTTGTTCAAGATGCTTTTAGCGAAGAAGCCATGCGATGCAATTGCGAGTGGAAGGTAAAAATATTCTGACGGGAAATAACTACATGTCATATGAAAGAATGCTGGAGAGGGCTGAACGTGGCAACTGTGCGCTGTAAATATGAAGAGAAAGGGTGTCTGGGTTATTCGAAAAGTAGAGAACAACCACAGCTTCTCCTCATCCATACTTTCCCAGGATCACCGCCAACTTAAAGCAAAGAAAGTGGGGAGAACCATTAAGCAGTCGATCGAGGCACTACCAGATATCAAGATCAAAGCTATCATGGTCGAGGTGAAGGATCGACATTCCTACACGATCAGGTACAAGAAGGCATGGCATGGAAAGCAGAAGGCCATGGCTGAGGTGTATGGTGATTGAGATGACTTGTATGCTTTACTCCCTAGAATAATGGCCGTAATGGAGGAGTCCAACCCTGGGACTATTTTTGTGTCATGTTACAACAATGTACAAAGTGAAGATCAAGTTCGAGTACAGAATGAGTTGATGTTTCAACGTCTATTTTGGGCATTCAAGCCATGCATTGACGGGTTTGCCTTCTGCATTCCAGTGATCCAGGTATATTACTAACTAATGTTCTAAAAGTTCATTTTTCACTAAGTAATATTTATACTAATTTAATTCAAATTTTAAACAGGTTGATGGAACTTTCTTTACTGGGAAGTACAGAGGAACTCTTCTCATTGCCACTGGTGTTGATGGAACTATGCGGATTTTCCCGCTGGCATTTGCATTAGTGAAAGGGGAGAACAACTTAAGTTAGACATGATTCTTTGACCAGCTACACGACCACGTCACACAGCAGCAGGGTATTACGATTATATCCGATCGACATGCTGGGATTAGGAACACCGTTGGTGGTTTTCTCGACGAATGGAGATGGACATGGCGCTCGTGTATTCGACACTTTCTTACCAATTTCCAGCACAAATTTGGGAAGAAGAAAAACATAAGAGATCAATTGTGGGATGCAGGTTCTAATGTCTTTTTGTGCGAGTTAATTACTCATTGTTCAGATGCAATTTCTCATTATTAACCAGTAATTTTTTCTCCTTGAAGCGGTTGCACATCAACCAAAAAAAATACGAGCAGAAAATGAAGACAATCTGTCTGATACACCGGGCGGGGCAGTATGGGCTGAACGTCATGATTTGCACATGTGGACATTCCATATAGACAACGAGGCCAATTCTGCATTTCAACTACCAACCATGGTGAAAGTATAAATGGAGTGTACAAGGGCCTTAGAGCGATGTTTGTTTTTGTCATAGTGGAGATGTCATACTGGAAGGTCAACGAGTGTCTTGTTAAAAGACTTCAAGAAACCTTGAGGTGGGGTTGCTGGAAATGGTTACTTCAATCAATATTGCCTCAAGGATCGATCGGGCAGGTGCCACTCCACGATGTGCCAATAGATCAAGGGCACCTTGCACAATCACGTCTCGTGATCCTTAGGGTGTCTAAGATGATGCAGCTCGACCAGTTCACGTGGATATGGGTCTCATGTAACCTACACTCATTCATAATTTGCAATTAGCAACAAATTACATCCACAAAATTGTAATTCGTTAAAATATTGAATTGTCATGATTACATGGTTCCACCAAGGTTTATCAAACTCAGCACGACAAAACAGTAAAGAGTGCTAGGGTTGGTGGTCATTTTTATTTGCTCCGATCCACCTTGTAAGAGTGCTCGAGTTGGTGGTCGTTTGTAAAGCATAAAGGCTAAGCATGTATGAATTTCTTAAGCTATTGATCGATTTACTTAATAAATTTAATTTAGGCATGGAATACATCTAAATCAAATCAAACTAAGTATGAGATAAATTGTATATAAAGCTAAATTAAATAAACCTAAGCATGTGATAAATCTAAATTAAATCAAACTATGCATGAAATAAATTTTATATAAAGCTAAATTAAATCAAGCTAAGCATGTGATAAAATTAAGCATGGAAGAAATATAAATTAAACAAAGCAAAATTAAATAAATCAAATCAAGAAATAAATCTAAACTAAACTTACTTGACACCATAAGGGGCATTTGGCATATCTCGTAGCTCCTTATTTTGTCTCTAGAACGGATGCGGGTCTTGAGGTGCGAAAATTGAAAGATGCTCCCATGCCCAGATCTGGAGGATGAACATCGCACCACCAGCTTGTTTCGCTCCCACCTTCGAGAAAGTACACATCTCCCTATAAACCCCAACTAACACGCCTGACCCCAACTCTTTGTCCCGATCGCATCCTAGTCACTGAGTAGAAATGGCAACCACATGCCTTGAATCCACCTGTTTGCCTTGTCGAGGAACATAAATCCACCAACCAAGCCAATGAGGTAGACATGTGCATACCGCTCCATTTGATATTTTAGAGTGTTTGGGCCGATTTCAACCTCATCTTGGATGTGAGTAACGAGCCACATGATCGATACTTGTCCCACATTCAACGGTGGATGCCCCCGTCAATGGACTGGAGCGTTGGTCGGCATGTCGAAGCCCAAACTATCAAGAATCAGCAGCCCCCAGCCTGCTTCGGGTTTGGTCGAGTGACCGATGATGGCCTCTCCAGTGATCGGCAGCCCGGTGAGGATGGCAACGTCTTTCAGGGTGATCGTCATTTCCCCCTCCAGAAAGTGGAACGTATGGATTTCGGAGCGCCATTGTCGTCAGCAGATTGTTGTCGATCTCCATCAGCATGAAATGCCTCACCATACCCAACCTCATGCTCTCTAAATACGACGAGAGTCGATCATGCCAAGCAGGCAAGTTTGTGGTCTCTTGATAGACCGTCATTTACACATGTTTTTACCCCCATTCTTACACCGTTTGAGGTGTTGATTCTCGTGTTTTAGGCCGATTTCACGGTAGGTTGTGCTTGTTTGTGATATTTCAGGTCCTAGGACGTGAATGAAGGCTTAGGAGCGAGTCTGGGGTCGATTGGACGAGGATCGGACGCATGGCGAGGTTCTGAGGAAGTCGCACGGGCACACCCACAACCCGCACGGCCGTGCAAGTGACCAGTTTGGCCGTG